CAATGCGACCACTGGCCAGGGGGCAGCCAGTGTTTATTCTAGAAGAGGCTGAGGAAGAACGAAGCCAGGGCTCGTGGGTCTGCTGTCACACTAGAGACTGCAGCAGGGCTTTTGCACTGAGCTACGTCCCACCTCTCTTATTTTTTATTTTGAGACAGGGTCCCGCTGAGTCACTAAATTGCCCAGGCTGGGCTCCAGCTTGCAATTCTCCTGCCTCAGCCTCCCAGAGTGCTGGGATGACACACATGCACCACCACAGCCCGCCCTTGGGGTTGTGGACTGTCTGCACGGCTGCCCTAGGGGCAGGTCTGGGGGACAGTTATGACTTCATGGTGGGACAGCAGCTGTCACCCAGAAGGACTTACGCTCTGCCTGGCGCTTAGCCACGCTGAAGCCTCAGCCGGAGTGGCCTTGCTCCCACCCCGTGCCTCTGTTTCCGTCTGTAAAGGCCGCATAAGAGGGCTGCTTTGTTGCGGTGTTATATCAGAGGTAGAGCGCTTGCCGAGCAAGCATGGCCCTGAGTTTCACCCCTGGCACATGAAAAAGAAAAAAGAAAAAAAACCAAACAAACAATAAAGACCACTCTCCTCCCGGGCTGCGTGAGACGGACAGAAGACGGGCAGCTTGTGCGGGGACCAGGATCCTCACCCTCGGAATGTGGGCAGCAGATCCGGAGCCTTCGCACCCGGAAAGGAGTCATGAGGCCTGCGGGCGGGGTCCCCGCTGGGCCTTTTCCCAGTCACAGGGCGCGTAAGAGCGGCGCCCGCAGGGGGCGCCCGCCTCACCCGCGGGTTAGGACCAAGGCGTCCTGCTCCGCAGTGCAAGCGCTGGGCGCCTCGGTCAGCTGGGCTCGGACCCCTCCGCGGGTGCGCGGGCAGCGAGCAGATCCGGGGCTACCGGGGAGGATCCCGCAGGCTTCTCCTCCCCAGTCCCCTGGCCTCCACCTCTCCCCTCCGGAGTGGCTGTCCGGGATGTACGTCGGCCAGGCTGCTGAGGTGATGGTTTCAGAGGCCCCTCGCCAGAGATGACCTGGCATCCTGCCCTTTGAAGGGTAGGAAAATCGCTTCTCGGCCTTTTGGCTAAGATCAAGTGTGAAGGGTAGGAAAGGCCATTCCTGTGGTGCCCGAAGGTCTGCTGGCCTGTCCTCTGCTCCCGGACGCACGTCCTGCTACCTCAAGGGCAAAGGAGGCTGGGCACAGTGGCGCATACCTGCAGTACTGGCATTTGGGAGGCTGAGGCAGGAAGATCCTAAGTTGGAGGCCAGCCTGGGCCACATACTGAGGCCCTCTCTTAAAAAACCAGCCAGCTCAGGTGGCTGAGGCAGGAGGATCATTCTAAGTTCAAGGCCAGTCTGGGTTACATAGTGAATTCAAGGCCAGCCTGAACTACACAGCGAGACCCTATCTCAAAACAAAGAAAACACAACACAACAACACAAGTCAAGAGCAAAGGAAGGTGAGGAAGGGGAAAGAGAAAAGGGGGTATTGTGTATCCCTAACCCAGGAGAGGAGCCTGTCCCACAGGCCGAGCCCGCACTCTGGCCTGAGCCACAGAGCACATTGTACGAGGCCTCTCCGGGTCCAAAGCGGCGCTCGGCCCTGCTGTGCAAACAGCTGCGGATGGGTGGGGGCGGAGGTCCTGGGAAACCAGCTGCGGCCTGGAGAACCCAGCGGCGATCCTCACTCAGCCAGCCAGGGAGATGCACTGGGCAACAGCGCCACCTGGTGGACGACGAAGGGGCGGCCGCGCGGAGGATACAGAGCAGGTGCGGGGTGACCGCAGGGGTCACCGGGCACCGCCTCCTTCAGACGCGGGTCAGGCAATTGTTTAATAGAACGTTTCGACTGACGGATCAATTGATTGACTGTTGTACTGGGAATTGAACGCAAGACCTTTGCCCTGAGCTACACCTCCAGCCCCTTTTTATTTTTTGAGACAGGGTCTCAAAGTCGCTAAATTACCTAGGCTGGGCTGCAATTTATGACATTCCTGCCTCAGCCTTCCAGAGTGCTGGGATTACAGAAATGCATAGCCACCATGCTGGACAGTTCCTCCTCAGTTTAGAACTCTGATCCCACAGGTTCCCCCCACCTCCTTCCTCAACCTTTCACCTAAACCATCTTTTCTTCCCTTGGTTTCACTTCCTTTTTAAAAATTTATTCACTTCCAGAAGCTGTGCATGGTGGCCAGTCCTATAATCCTAGCACTCGGAAGGCTGAGGCAGGAGGATCTTCGAGGGTTCAAAACCAGCCTGGGCTACTACTGACTTCAAGGCCAGCCCGCACTACACAGACACTGTCTCAACAAACAAACCAACCCCCAAACCAAAACCAAAACCTTTAGGTCTTGACCTCCATTATTGGGTTAATTTTGAAGTTCAGCAGGGCGCTTGGAAACCAGACAGCCTCATGTTCAAATGTGGACCCTGTCTGCACGGCGTTGGGCAGGTATCTTAGCCTCCCTGAATCTGTAAGAGGGGCTGCAGGTCTTTACTACCCAGAGTCCCAGGGAGCACCAGGTGAGATAACACAGCCCAAAGCCCAGGACAGCTCCTGTGACACCATCTGGCCTCCAAGTGGCCACCAGAGCCGCATTCCTTTCCAGGGAGTGCGGGGGGGGGGGGTGAAGGGGTGAGGAGGGGGGACAGCAGGATGAGCGTTTCCCAGCCAGCCAGTGGGGCGAGGGGACAGCGGGACAGGAGGGCAGCGTGGCCGGCTCTTTGAAACGGAAAGCTTTAAAATTTAAATGGCTTCCCAGGCGAGATAAGCAGACTAGCGCCCAGCAAGGAAACCGAACTTGGCCAGGGCCCCAGAACTTTCCCCACCCCAGCCCTCCCAAGACTTCCTCTTGTGGTTTCTCAAAAGTACAACCTGTTCTTCACACACTGGAGAGAGAGAACAGCAGGGGAGGGCACGGCAGGGGAGGGACAGGGACGTCGCCCAGGACGGGGCAGGGGGGGCGGGGAGCAGCCTGCCTCGCTCTGAAAAAAACATCCTGTCTCCCTGTCATCTGGCACTGCCCCCCTCTGCCCTGGAGTCCTGTGATGACACCCATCCCCCTCACACCCCTCAAGGTGTTCTCAACCTTCCCCCCAGCACAGGTCCCCTACCGGAAACCGAGGGTCCAGAAAGGAGGTGGGAAAATGCCCGGATGCCGGCTCACACCAGTGGCACTGCCCCACCCCACCGTAGGGAACCAGATGCTTCGAAGTCAGAAGGTGAAGCTCTCGTTTCCCACATTCCCAGGTTCCCACATGCGGCATCCTCCTGGAGCAATTCTTTCTTAGCCGGGAGTGGTGGCGCATGCCTCTAAAGCCAGCACTTGGGAGGCTGAGGAAGGAGGACCGCAGCAAGTCTGAGAACAACCTGGGATACATAGTAACTTCAAGACCAGTCTAAAGTACACCGTGAGACCCATCTCATAAAACCAAGTAACAAAAAAAGAAATTCTTTCTTGCATGCAACCTTAGATTATTTATTTTCCCTTTTCCTCTGGGGGAGTGAGCCTTACACAGGGACACACACACACACACACACACACACACACCCAGCTCTGTGCTGTCCCCGCAGCCCTAGACCAGGCATGCTGGAGCCCTGTGACCAGCTCGAGTTCCGAGCTAGGCTAACCGACATCGGTTCACACCTCCACATCACCCCCGACAGGGCACTGCCCAGGACAGGGACAGTGACCCTCAGGATCCCAAAGCCAGACTCCCCACACAGCCCACCCAGGAGGCAGGTGGCTGGATGGTCCCAGCTGTGCCGCTGACTTCCCACTCCCCTTGCAGGAGGACTGGTCATCTCCGTGCCAGTTCCCACAAGGTGTCCCCGTGACACTTCTCAGGACGGAGAAGAGGGCCCTATGAAAGCCACCAACGGGCACCTGACCACCTGTGCCGTGTGACTGTCAGCTAGCATTCAACCCTCGGAGGGATGGGAACAGAAAAGGAAGACACTCGGGACCACAGATGTCGCGGGCACAAGGACCAAGCACAGACAGAGGTCCGCTGGACCAATCAGAAGCTCCGACCCCTCACCCGTGTAGACAGTACATGACCACAGTGAGCGGTCAAACTCAGAAACCACTGTGCAAGCTACGAAGGTCGACTCTGAGAGCCAGGAGGGAGAGGAGAGGACGCAAGAAGCCCCTCGACAGCCACTTCCCACCCACGTCAGGTCCCGCCCGCAGAGAGCGGGCGGCCGGGGACAAGCCCCGGTCACAGGGAGCATCGCTAGAGCTCAGGATGGGGCTGAGTCCCAGGACGGTCACTGCGCCCCGGGAACCCCTCATCCGCACCCAAAGGGGACTCTGGGGCCGGTCCATCTGGTTGGTTCCCACCTCCTGTTCTCACGTGGACGGTGGGTCAAAGAGCAGGGCTGGTTTGGGGTCACCGTGTGTCCCAGTGCTGGACACCACAGCCGGGGTTCAGCCCAGCTCTGGGGGATAAGGGCCCCAAAGGCCGGCTTCCAGATCCCCTGCTTGGCGACCTCGGCGCGTGTCTGTGACGGCCCCCAGCCCCCCAGCCAGAGCGCCTGGCCCCGCGCGGCTGCTGCGTGTGACCGGACAGACGAGCCGGGGACCGCGACATCTCCGCGCCCTCAGCATCCGTACGGCCTGCGGCATTGGGTTCATGCAAAGAAAACACCCCCTCTCCCAGGGGCGGCAGCAGCGTCTTCCACACTGGGAGACACAGGGAGTGCGGTGCCAGCTGTGCGCCCCCCGGGGGACGCCGCGGAGGGTCCCTCCCCGGCCCGGCACCAAGGTCACAAGCGCAGCCCAGGGCCCACATCCCCATCCCCATCCCCATCCCCGCGGGCGGGAGCGCTCCCCTGGGGGGCAGAGCTGCGCTCCGGAGCGCGGGGCGGCGACGCAGGCGCGCACCCCACAACCCGCTCGCCCCGCTCCCGGCTCCCGGCTCCAGGTCCCCGGCCCGGCCGCGAGCGACACCGAGAGAGGGTCGCCGAGCCGCACACCTCGGGGCTGCAGCCGCCCAGCCTACCTCGTCCCGGGGCGCGCGGGGCCTCGCCGCCGTCCCCGCCGTCGGCGCGTCTTTGGGGAGGACGCGGCATCCTTGGGGGGGTGGGGACCTCGTCCCCTCCGGCCCGGCGCCCAAACAAACCCACGGCCGCCCGCGCGGGCGGACGTGTTTACACAGCCGGCGCCGCCCGGCGGGTTAGAAGCTGGGCAGGAAGTGGGGAGCGGGGGCGGAGGGGGGCGCGGTCCTCAGGACGTAAACAACCACGCGCGCTCCAACCCTCTGCGCCGCAGGCACGGCCGGCCGCGTGGGCGCGCTGATGGTGTCCAAAGGGGAAACTGAGGTAGGTGCGGCGAGGTGAGGGGTCCAGAGTCCCACAGGCGGTGAGTGGAGCCGGGTTTAAGCCCGAGTCCCAGGCTTGGGGCGCGCGGGTACCCACGGCGACAGGGAGGCGTGGCCAGGATTCACCTGGGGCCGTGCCACGCCCCTAGGACGTCACGAGCCCATCAGCCCCGCCCCTCGTCGCCGCGCCGCCCGCGACTACAAGTCCCATCCTGCCTCGCGCTGACGCTGACGACGCCACAGCAAGATGGCCGACGCTGCGTCCACACCCGGGGCCAGCGGCTCTGGAACGGTAAGGGAGAGAGGCGCGGGACCGGAACCTAGAGAGTTTGGTGTCCTCTAACTTCCCTCTAGCCTAGACAACACGCTTATCCCCGGAAGTCCAGCTCCATCATGAACTCCGAGTGGAGGAGGGTCTTTCAGGCCGTATATGCCCCCCTTCTTGGGACTTGGCGAATGCCTCCAGAGTTCATGGATCTGTACCCTGATTGGCTTCTCCCTGGTGTGTGGCCCGGAACACCTTGTGATTGGTCCAAAGAGACCGCTTTTACCTTCTTATTGGCCAGCCCAGGTTGGGAGGGATTCCCTTTTCAAAATACCTAGCTTCCCTGCGTTTCTGTGCTGTTATCCTTTGCTTCGCCCTCCCCTCCTCGACATAATGGATTGTTGTTCTAGTTTTTCTTGTTAATGGGATGGCGTACGGCAGGGAGGAGCAAGAGAGAGTTCCTTTTTCTTGTGAGGCAGATTTATTCAGTCCCATCACGCGTATTCCTTCAGCTATACATTCTGCTAACGTGCTAAAGTAGGAAGTGAAAAAGCCATTTTCCCTGCGGGAATGTTTTAGGTTACCAGAAAGGTTGCTCTGTATTTAGTACACCCTCAGGGTTCAGTTATTATTCAGCCAAGATCTATAAATCCAAACATGGGCTGGGGATATAGCTCAGCGGTGCAGCACCTGCCTGGCAACTGCGAGGTCCTGAGTTCGATTCCCAGTATCCCGCCCCCAATTCTTTTTTCTTTTCTCTTTTTCTTTTT